AATGGATACAGAACACACATTGATGGTATGGCCAAATTATATAGAAGAGCTTTTTAACGACAAACGATACAAAATAGATAGTAATTACGGTAATTAAATTACCACTATATTTATACTGACAAATTAATACTTTTTATTCTGTCAAAATAACGTCTGTTAATTCGTTTCAATGGTAACTCGACCAATTGACTTACAAGGCTTATGTGATATTACACATTTTTATAGAACTGAAGCTTAATTTTTTTATTACGTGATAATCATTTGTTTGATTAATTTACTTGGCATCCAAATAGTAGGTAATATACAATTTACTAGTTAGAGAGTAGAAAAACTATATTACAAACGACATATCTTTATCAGTTCCATTTAATTTCAGCCCATTAACTAGTTTCAGTTTCATTTTGCTTTGTACAGTTTTATTATATTTTAATTACAGACGCTGTATTGATTGATTTCACTACTTTCGATATCTGAGTGCAATAACCCGAACCTTAAATTATATCTAATGCATTTTCCGTTTTATTAAAATGGTTTTCTCATTTCAGTAAGTGAAAAATAAATCACCTCAAATCGATTGGAAAGTCTAGACTACCCCTCCATGACCCATTTATTAAATGGTGTGTCTACTAAACCGTGTATACCAACAGGTGGGTATTTTATTTCTTGCTCTTTTCATGTAATAATAAAGAAAATACCATACACAAAATCGAAGACTTACGTGAAGTGAGCCGAATAATCAACATTTTGTCTTGGACTAACACTTAAAGAGTCTACAAGTAGCTGTAGGAATAGTGGCGCAGTAACAGAGAAAGAGAAGGTGTGATCGACGTTTGCAGACTGGAAACATAATCTTCTTCTTCTGCTAGTGACTATCCTCTATGGATGTTGGCTACCACAATGGCCCATCGTATTTTATTAGCAGCTGTTCGGAATAGGTCTGCGGTGGAAACAAATACACGCGTTAAATTAAGAGCCGAACTGAGAAGAAACGACACTGTAAGAAACTGTGTAGCTAGGTGGATGAGTACGTGTAAATTCAGAGATACAATATCGTCATAAAACAGTCCGCTATACCCCTGTACGAGATGCCTCTGTACAGGAAGCTCGAGATTACCGGAGAAATATTCCAGACCAGCCATTGGCACGGTGTGCAACGAAACGTGTTTTCGAACGGGCGTGGTTTTCGAACACATAAACGCGTTCTAGTAAACAAAGATTTCCGGTGAATTGGAAGGTCTAGAGGCGAGTGCTACGCTCAAAATAGGAAGAGAACTATCGAGTGATTTTCCTTCTGTTGTGTATAGGTAAACTGTAGTGCAAACATTATATTGGAACCAAAGTGTTATAGTTCAAATAGATGGCAACACTCAGAACAAATGAAGATCTGTAGAGGAGATAGACAAGGATATGTTTTATGGCCACTTTTGTTTAACTTGTATTCTGAAGAAATTTTCCAAAACACGCTCAATAATATCAAAGCAGGAGTTACCGTTTACGGAAAATTAATTAACTTACGATATACAAATGACACCACACAATATATACATCACCTATTGACAATCAATGGTAACGTGTAGAACAAGTAGAAAAATATCAGCACTTGGTAACTTTGATCAATGAAACCAATGATCATACTGTAGAAAGAAACAGGGAATAGAGATTGCCAGATCAGCATTTATACGAATGAAGCCACTCCTAACGTGCAAAAATCTAAATTTGGAGATCAGATTACGTACCATTCGCTGTTATATATTTTCTGGAGACTTGGACCATTAAAAAAAATACAATTTAAAAAGAATCGAAGCTTTCGAACTCTGGTTATACCGCAGAGTATTAAAAATATCATGGACTGTAGAATTACGAATAAAGAAGTACTGGAGAGGTTGGTAAAGAACAGAACTAATCACCACTATACAAACCAGAAAACTGGAACACCTAGGCTACGTGGTAAGGGGACCAAATATGAAATTTTGAGACTCATAATTGTACGGAGTTGTACGGTTAGCTGATAGCCAGTAGTGGACGGTCATACTACTCTTGGCGTTCGGAATGTTTCCCAATGAAAATAAATTAGTTACTACCTGTATGTGTAAAAGGAAAAAATCGTGAGAGAAAAAGGGTTGGAGTATCGCAATGGTCTCACTATGCTGGTAGTAGCACGTGACAGGGAAAGATTTTAGCAGGGAATTCAAATGCCACTAGTCAAAAAATACATGAAAGAGCATGGGTAGAGTGGATGCAAGTAAGAGCAAAGCCATAGTGCTCAAAGGACCACGGAAAATGAAGGGAATAACATTAGAATCTGTAAGACTGAGCGTAATTCGACAGAAAAGCATGTGATACATAGGTGTGACTCTGAACCAAAATAGAACTGGTGGAATCATGTAAGAGTGAGCACGTCAGGTGAATCGTAGCCATCATTGGGGGACCTTAACCCGAAATAAGGTTCCTTCATTATGATGTAAAGGCTCATGAAGGCATCACCTCCAAGTAGAGAGGACAAGTGGTGGACTACAGAGGGTGGCCCTTCATGAATTCCAACCGAGTAGCGAGAAAGAGTCTACAGAGGGTGGTCCTTCATGAATTCCAACCGAGGCTTTGGAAGTTATGAAGGAATATATCCCCATGCACGTGTGAGCGAAAAAAACAAATATATGAGAGAAAAGTGAAGATGCAACAGAATGGGAATGATTAAAAAAAGAAAGAGGTGTAACACGCAATGAGAATGTGATGCAGTTTCTCTATTCTCTCTCTTTCTCTCCCTCCCTCTACGGCTTCTCCTCTCTCATCGGCTTCTCTCTCCCTCTCACTGGCTTTTCTCTCTCTCATGGACTTTTCTCTCTCTCTCTCTCTCTCTCCTCATCTCTCTCTCTCTCCTCTCCTCTCTCTCTCCCTCTCTCTCTCTCTCTCTCCTCTCTCTCATCTCTCCTCTCTCTCTCTCTCTCTCTCTCTCTCCTCTCTCTCTCTCTCTCTCTCCTCTCTCTCCTCTCTCTCCTCTCTCTCTCTCACTCTCTCTCTCTCCTCTCTCTCTCTCTCTCTCTCTCCTCTCTCTCTCTCTCTCTCACTCTCTCTCCTCTCTCTCCTCTCTCTCCTCTCTCTCTCATCTCTCTCTCTCTCTCTCTCTCTTCTCTCTCTCTCTCTCTCTCTCCTCTCTCTCTCTCTCTCTCTCTCTCCTCTCTCTCTCTCTCTCATCGATGTTTCATCTCTCCTGTCGGCTTCTCTCCATCGACGGCTCTCTCTCTCTAGACGGCTTCTCTCTCATCGGCTCTCTCTCTCTCCCTCTTATCGCTATTCTCTCTCTATCTCATCGGCTTATCTCTATGTCTCCCGCTTCTCTCTCTCTATCTCATTAGCTTCTCTCTCTCTCACCCTATCGGCTTCTCTCTATCTCTCCTTAACCGGCTTCTTCTCTCTCTCGCTTCTCTCAGTCTCATCAACTTCACTCTCTCTGATCGGCATTTCTCTTTCTTATCATTTTCCTCCCTCTTATGGCTTATCTTCCTCTCATTGACTTCTCTCACTCTTATAGATTCCGTCTCTCTCCTCTTTCGGCTTCTGTCTTTCTAATCGACTTCTCTCTCTCTATCTAATCAATTTATTTTTAATCGGCTTCGATCTCTCTCATCGGCTCCTCTCTATCTCTCTCTGTCATCCGGTTCTCTTCTCTCATTGCTTCTGTCTCATCGGTTTCTCATCGGCTTCTTTCTCTCTCTCATCGGTTCTGTTTCTCAAGCGCATCTACCTCTTTCTCCCTCATCGGCTTATCTATTTCTATATCTTTAACACTTTCTTTTATCAGTTTCTTTAGTTCTATCTATCATTCTCTCTTTTTCAAACAAACTTTATGCGTTTTAAACATTCTTTTTAGTTTTAGAAATTTACGAGTGCTATGGAATCACTAAAAAATTCAAAAAACAAAAATGAGGAAGTCTTATCTATATCTAATCCAATACCAGAAAAAGTAGAAAACTAGAAATACCTTAGCGCATAGATCACAAAAGAGACAGAACAAGCAAAGAGATACGATACCATATAGAAATAGCAAGAACCACCTTCTTCAAAATGAAAAAGCTTCTAACCAATAGAACATAACATTAGAATTAGAACGAGGCTATTACGATGCTATGTATTCTCCACATTGTTGTATGGCGTTGAAGCACGGACTTTAAAAAGAGACCTAGATAAATTAAAAGTATTCTAATAATTTCTAAACACTGTATTACAAATGAAGAAGTGTGGCCAAGGATCAACAAAGGAAAGAGAAGAAGCTGGACTATTTTAATGATATAATGAGGCGAACCAGATATGAGATGCTACGTTTAATAGACGAAAGATAAAAATATAAGAGAATGGTATAATATGAGTTCAACTCTATTATATTATATTTAGGACAGCTGTGAATAAAGTTGAGATCGCCATAACGATTTAAGAAGAAGAATATATCACTGTCTATAAAATATGTAAGCAGAATGTGTGGATATTATTTAGTCTATCCTCTCCCTATATATTTCAGTACTCCACTATGGCTAAGCTAGGTTTCTATTGAATATAAATTAACTCCTTCTTTAGTGAACTTTATTAATTGCTACAGCATCAAAATATGTAAAAAGTGATAAAAAATATAAAAGAAAGCAGTGGTAAATCCTACTACAACATCCGCCTTACTGTACCGACTTATCACTGTGTGAAAAAATGTTGGTTTGATTAAAAATGCCAGTAAAAGTGCATAGGCTGAATTCGGTACACAAAGAGATTCGTTTTTGAGAAATGGTTTCGCAACTGCAAAGATTTTATCAGCAAGCTACTTATAAATTAGCTAAATAATGGGACTCATATATTAATGTAAATTCTTTTAAATGTTTTAAAAAATACCTTAAAGCTTTTAAATGTTTTTCTACTTAACAACACCAGTACATTCATATTGATTTTAAAATGTATGTTTTTATAAAACACTTTTAAGTGTCGGAGCAGTAGACACCGACCACATAAAAAATCCTTACCGAAATTATGGCCCATTTCGTGAGCCACGGTGGTAGCAACAAGTCCGACAACAGGTGAATGGTCCGTGTTCACTCCGCCGGAGAATTCGTAAGTACAAATGGGACCTTTAAGTGCTTTTCCCACAACGCCATGATCAAAATTAAATTTCCTGAAAAAAATTACTCCATTAGATAAAGAGGTCAAAGCGGTTAGTTACGATTTCATTAATTCTAATTGACGATAATTCGGCGCAAAAAAATATGATAGCAAAGCGGTTGTAGGTTGTATAAATGGAGCGGTTAGTAATAAAAAAAATCTAAACTGTGAGTTTATTAACGAGCAAAACATTTAAAGTATTGCATAAAATACTGAGTAACAAAAAAGTTGATCAATCGAAATAAGCTAAAATCCAACTAGTACATAGGCAAAGATATGTATGTACAATATTTGGAGAAAAATATAAATGTACCTATTAGTTAATAGGAACACAAACCTATTTACTCCCTATATAATATATACATACATTATACCATTAAGAACAATAGAAGTATGAAAGTATTGAGAAAAAGACTAATAATGGGGACAAGGCAGATAATAAAGATTAAAGATAGAAATGGTCATCTTAAAACCATCAGAGGAAACCCTTAAAATAGTTGAAGACTTGCACAAATTGCTGTACACAAGCTAAAACAAAGCAAATAGCAGAGAAGATCAAGTATCAGAGATATTAACAAGGAAAAGGGCATTGTCAACCAAGGATCAGAACTATTACCGGAAATCACAATGGACGAATTAAAACTAGCCCTAAAAAAAGCTAAGAATAACAAATCTCTAGGCAAAGGCAAAAAAAAAATCGGAGGCACTTGCCTATTAAGAAAATAAAGAACCTGTTTAACATGTGCCTTTTAGACAGTAATATACCCGACAAATGGCACAATGCTGAGGTAATTCTATTGTACAAAAAAGGAGATCCCCATAATTAGAAAACTACAGAGCTCTTCCAAAGTCTTCTTAGTAACCTATACAAACTCTTTACAAGAATAGTAACAAATTGTCTTGAGAAAAAAACTTGATTTCTACCAGCCAATAGAGCAAGCGGGATTTCGTACCGGATTTGGAACAATCCGGTACGAAACAAACAATTTGTAATAGAAAAGACTATCGAATACAATCGACCACTTGCTCTGGCTTTTGTAGATTTCCATAAAGCCTTTGACACTTGTTTCTGAGGCATATGTCATTATTGATCTCACACTGGCTTTATAAATTCTTGACCTCATCTCAGTGTTAATGTGTCTCATACAGACACATTGTCATATAGTGTTATTACCAGTCTATTTGATTTTTGTACTTGATATTGGTTATTAATGATATTAATGGAACCATGGAATAAGCTGGAATTTTATGCGAAAGTATACAAACAACGATAACGGTAAAATATCTACCGTTTTTATGAACAATACTATTGAATAAACAGAATGATTAACAAACGACTGTAGATAATTTCATATCAATAAGATCAAAATAATTTTTATGCTGTGAAATAAACAAATCTGTTTTAAGCATGGACGTATAAACACAGATGGACTCAGTTATTTACCTAAAATTGTGAAGTTAAAATTATTTGTATAGATCACATTCTCAGCACCTTCAACTGTTGTCACGTTTTGTTTTAAAATTTCTTATTCGCGAGTCGCTGAAAATATCACTCCGTATTTTATACTCTACAGGTGCTATCAAACCAAAATAATAATTTATTGGTTAGATTAATATATTTAATTGTAATCAAAATATCAAGTGTGCACATAGTGTGCATTATCATTTAATAATAGTGTATAATAGATATCAATCAATTATTTTATATGTAGAAGCACTGAAAACTATTTATAAATGGCAACGGTTGTTTACATTTCTCTGTCTTATGGATCTACGACAAACTTCAAATGCTGTTCCATGTTTGTTTACTTTTTAGTAAAAGTTGTTTTTCGATATTTTGGCTGTATTTTGAGTGATGTTTGTGAAAAGTGAAATAAAATAAACTAAATATTTACATCCCGATCTCTCATTTCATTTGTAAGTACATAAATTTACATTATTTAAGATGAGGAAATGAGGAAGCGTGTTTGTTTACATTTTAATAGGCGTACCATTGGTTTTATTCATGTTCATTAATGTATTGAATATGATATAAGTTCATGAAATTAGTAGGCATTTTTAAATTGTAAGTAGACATCATCTGATTAAAAAAGATCTCTTTAGTACCTTTTTAAAACGTGTTTTTATACGTTATTACTACTTCCAATTTTTAAAATCTGAATAATTACCCGCGAGTAAAAATTCAAGCACGATTATGCTCATTGCGGAAGCATCACATTCTATGGAAGCTTCAAAACATTGTGTGTTAAAGGTATCTTATTGCTGTGTCCATCTATGTTTATACGTCCATGGTTTTAAGTATGGGAACATCCACCTTCTAATCCAAACATGACTCTTAGGGATTGTCACATTTTTTAATTTAAAAATTTATTTTTATAGCTTGCCCGAATAATTTTTTTCTGTTAGATATTCTTTCGCATTGAAAAAAAAAAAATAATAAAATATATTACAGCAATCGCCAATTAGGTAAAGCTTCGTTTCGAAAATTTTAAAATTATTTTTTGGGAGCATTAGTAAAGCAATCTTGGTATATCTAAAAAGCAAATGACGACAACGAAAACAAATATGTCACTGAATTCATATATGACTTTAGATAATATCTTTGGTCGGAAGAGTCCGTTACTTGAAGCAAAATAGGTCATTTCGAGCTTCGAACGACTGTAGATAATTTCATCTCAATAAGGTCAAAATAATTTTTTATACTGTGAAATAAACAAATCTGCTTTAAGTATGGGAACATCCACCTTCTAATCCAGACATGACTCTTAGGGATTGTCACATTTTTTAATTTAAAAATTTATTTTTATAGCTTGCCCGAATACCTTTTTTCTGTTAAATATTCTTTCGCATTGAAAACAAAATTAACAAAATATACTACAGCAATCGCCAATTATAGTGTATTTTTATGTATGAGAGAGTAATAAAACAATAAATTATGTATGCAAATCCCTAAACTGTTGATACGGGTGACTCAATGAAAAACAGATATTTGTCAACAAGTTTACAGAAGTATATAGGAAAACAATTTTAAATTGAGTATGACCACCAGGTATAAAGGTTGGAGCAGAATAGAATACAATAGTTGTGAGGGTTACTAATCCTAAATAAGGTTGCCAGTGTCGGAATGATGGAGGTTAACAGGTACTAATGAATTTGCAAGAAATGTAAGATGTTTATTTTATTGGTTATATATATATATATATATATATATATAATATATATATATATATATATAATATAACCAATAAAAGTTTAATAAGTACCTACCTATTTGCAAAATAAAGTTTAATTCTTTAGATTAAATAAAACGTTTTATTTTATCTGAAATGAGTGCATTCCACGAAGTAAGGGTTTCAACAATCAAACATTTAATTCTTTAATTCCAGGAATCTACGACAGTAATTGACTAGATAATTACCTTCTAAACTTATTCCACAGAAAATGTGATAGTGGGTTTTTCCATTTTGTAGGAAGGTCCAAGTGGCGTATTCAAAATTCTTAACAGTTCACTAAAAGTAGGTACTTCAGTTGCAAGGTGCAGTTTATTGTGTATACTAGTTTTATGGAAAATTTGGAAGTGCCGTGTAAACGCCGAAAAATTGGTCCTTTAACAGTTAATGAAAAAACATTAATATTTAATTGTTTTAAATCATTTACAGACAAACGTTTATGTGAAAGTGTTGATGAGACCGTTGAGTTAGTTAGCAGTACACTTGGTGTTGGGAAATCTACGATTTACAGAGTTATTAAAGAAGAGAAATGTGGTAGTTTTCAAATGCCACGTAATGCTCCAGGGAAACCAAAATTTCAAATAGAATATCATTTTAAAGAAGGACTTCGACGGAAAGTGCATGAATTCTTCTTTAGACAAGAATTTCCAACATTCGATAAAGTTCTTGTCTCAGTTCGAGATGATAAGGATTACCCAGAAATGAGTCGAAGTACGTTATGGAAACTTTTAAAAGAAATAGGCTTCCGCTGGAAAAAGAATCCCAGAAAGTCTATTTTATTAGAAAGAAGCGATATTGTCATATGGAGAAGACATTTTCTAAGAACCATAAAGGAAATGAGAAACCAAAAAAGAAAAATATTTTATCTTGATGAAACATGGATCAACGAGGGTCATACACCAAATAAATTTTGGCAGGATGAAACTGTTACAAGTCAAAGGCACGCTTTTGTAAATAACTTATCTACTGGTTTAAACCCACCATCTGGAAAGGGACGCAGGCTGATAATAGTACACATTGGCAGTTCAGACGGTTTTGTTGAAGGTGGTTTATTAACTTTTGAATCAACTCGTACCGGTGACTACCATGAAGACATGAACGCTGATGTCTTTCAAGAATGGTTCGAACAAATGATAGATCTTCTTCCTAAAAACTGTGTAATAGTAATGGATAATGCAAGTTATCACTCCAGACTTATAGAAGGACTGCCCACAACCAAGTGGTTAAAAAAAGACTTGCAGAATTGGCTGAGTTCAAAAAATATTACGTACCATCCTGGATCTATAAGGAACTTTATTCGTTGTGTGCCCTTCATAAAGAAAAATTTAAAAAATACGAAATTGATGAAATTGCCAAAAATCGTGGAATGACAGTACTTAGATCCCCACCATATCATTGTGAATTAAACCCGATTGAACTGGTATGGGCACAGATAAAGAGTGAAGTTTCAAGAAAAAATACCACTTTTAAAATTCATGATGTTAAACAGTTGCTTTTGGAGGCCGTAAATAATGTAAAACCTGAAAACTGGGAAAAGGCAGTAAATCACACTATTAAAGAAGAGGAAAAAATGTGGAAGCTGGACAATATTACTGATAAAATGATCGAGCCAGTTATTATAAATCTTGGTTCTGAAAGTTCATCTTCTGAATCTGATTTGGATTTGTAAACAAGTAGCTGTAAGTTTTTATATTAATATTTTTATTCATCTATTTAACATACCTTGGACGGTTTTAAAAACTCTTTTTCTCTTTTGTAATTTTTAAAAATTAAATAAAATGTGAATTTTTTAAAACCCTTTTTAATGTAGGCCAGTCAGTTCTAATATAGTGTGTGATAAAAGAGGTCACTTTTGTTTACATACACATAACACTTTATAACACTGAAATAATTCATTTATTTTTTACAATTAAGTAATTTTTCAATTAATCTTGAGCACGCCCATGGAGTGGTCGGAAGGTACCAGTTAAAATTATGCTAATTACTCTCTCGTTCATAAAAATAAACTATAGGTAAAGCTTCGTTTCGAAAATTTTAAAATTATTTTTTGGGAGCATTAGTAAAGCAATCTTGGTATATCTAAAAAGCAAATGACGGCAACGAAAACAAATATGTCACTGAATTCATATATGACTTCAGATAATATCCTTGGTCGGAAGAGTCCGTTACTTGAAGCAAAAATAGGTCGTTTCGAGCTTTTCGCGGAATCTCAACATAGTTGGCGTTTACTGTGATTACTTTCTCGTTTAAATACTTACGTTAATAGTTGAGCATTGTCGTTGGGATGACTCTTAATAAGCTTCTCTCGTCGGTAATGGAGAAAATTCGTGAGCGTCGTATCTCCATTAGGAGAGAAATTAATTTCATCGTTTTCGGTCCATATCACTACTCCTACTAAAGCTATAAAAATATTTAAGGGAGAGTAAAGCTGAAATAAAGAAAAAAAATTGTTTAGCAACTGTTAATAGTGAGGCAACATAATAATTTAGAAATATGCGGTTATTACTTTATAACTAGATATTATCTACATTTTTAACGTAAATATAGACCTCGAACAGTCAGATCTCGGTATAATCCAGGGTCATTATCAAACATTAAGAATTAAATATGTAAAAAGCAAATCCATTACATGATACAGTAAAAACATGTAACACTAAAAGAAATCACTAAAACTAGAGCATCTAGTATGCTTGCTTAGTATATTAGATAGTCATGTGGTAGATTGAGACAAAGCCAATTTATGACACTTAGAACTCCTAAGGCGGGTTCGTTGTATTACCGTTATCATCCGGACTAGGCATATAAGGAGCTGGTCTTCAGTGTTTCTGGGGTCAAGACTCTTCCGGGCTCCCATATCTGCTAGAATCAGAAGAAGTTCTAAATCTGAGCTCTTTCTGCCGCAACAAAAGTCAAATCCTTTAGTAAACTCCTGGCCTCACAAAAAGCCAGTCCAAGCAGAAGTCTACAGTGGCCGATAAACATACTGACCACCAAAGAGCACCTCCCAAGATTTAGAAGTAGTTGTGCTCCGCTTCGTGAAGCCTAGTCTGTTTCATACCTTCACCACTAGCCCAATAGTCACTCAGCAAAATGAGCTCCTTGAGACTACCTTGACCAGTACTCCATTCTTCTCACCTCCTCATTCTGTTCACCCACACCTTGACTGTGATACCAGTTTCGTGTCCCGCAGGCAGAGCTGAGTTCTTTCCCTTCCACATCTGAATGCCCAGGTACCCACATCAAGTTAACCGTAATGGTCGGTGCAAATCAACGAGTGCGTTCTTGCACTCAAGAATCAGCTTATGAGGTGAATGTGAATGCTTCCAAAACTTTAACGACAAGCCTAATATATTAGATACGATAAAAGTAATTAAAGCGACTGTTTCTGAACTGTATAGTGGTTGTATATCTGTAATTTCGGGAAGGCTTCAACAACTCGTCGCTCTTCATCTAACACTGGATCATTTTGTTAATATCAGGGGTATTTCACATCACTTTGAGGATCTGGTCTTTGCTGTGTGTACGTTTTCGTCATAGAAATAGTAACTAAACGAAAAAAATGTCGTGGTGACAATGAAACAAAAATTAAAAACAATGTAGTAAATCTACAGGATTCAACCAGCAGAAAAGAAAACTACAATTGAATACATTTGATTCAAAAATCGAGAAGATAGTTTGGTTAAAGACTGTAGTGTGAAGAATGTTAAAAACAAGACTTTAGGGGAAGAATCATATATTTAGAGAGTGAGCGAACCAGAGAGAAAGAGAGAAAAAGGTGAGAGAAAGCGAAGCAGAGACAGAGATAAAAGGGGGACAGTGTGCGAGAGAAATTGAACGAACGAGAGACGAAGAGGGAGAGAAAGAGGATCAGAAAGAGGAGAGAAAGAGCGGGGAAAGGTATGAGAGGGAACGAAAGAGTTTTTATTTTTTCTTTGTTTTTTTTGTTTAGAAAAATTGCAATTATGGTACAAGTTGCGGCTTAGGACTCTTTTCTATTGCTAAAATGGTTCATATAAATTTGTATTGTTTGAAATTGCGCGAAGTTTCTTCTTTTCGATGTCTTTTGGGACTCGTAACTTTCTTCGCGTATTCAAATGTTTTAAAAAGTGTTCCTTTCCAGATTTAATATAAAGGAATAATTAAAATTCACCTCGTGACAAATAAAGATAATAATAATTCAATACTACAGTGATTTAGATCAATAAAAGACATAAATCGTCCATAATGAAGGACGATCATTAGGAAATAACACCATTTGATCAAACAGTGGACCATGAAATTTCCAAAACTAAAAGTGTATACTCATTTTGTGAAATAAGCCAGCAGAAGCACCTCGACATTTCCAATGATGAATGTACTTAGCCAATATGGCATTTAAAAACCGAAACAATATGTCTTATAGGTTGATTAGTAATTTTCCAGATTATTATGGGTTGATTCTTAAGTTTCAGGATTGTATAATTGCGTTGCAACGCCGCAAAAGCGGGAGGCGCGGTTAGTAGAATTGCTCAACATGATACATCTATACTCTGCTTCCGATTGAATGGTAAATCGCTTCCTGTTTGGCTCCCGATATTATATGGATATTATATAAGTTGAATCTAACACAAATCAAACGTTTTTGTATTAAGACTTGCGTTAAACTCGTTAAACTATTACTGAAACTTTCCGAATTTTATAAGGGCATAATTGAGTTGAACATGTCGAGAATAGTTCTGAGGATTTAAAAAGGGTCGTCAACTAAACAAGCACGTTTCGGACACGGCTCGACTCGAGAAAGACCTGTTAAAAGAAAAAAATTGTGCTGTGAAATCGTCTTCTAACCGTTACCGAAAAAGTCGACGAATATAATATCATTTTATTTGTTTTAGGGCCAAGAATTTTCACCCAAAAACTAAATACATGTTCAGTGCTGCAAATTGTTTTGCGAAAATTTTACCAATGGACAAAAACAACTTCAAGATGAAGATAAAGTTTGTCAGGGAAGTTCAAATGGGAAATAGCTATGAAAACTTTGAGATCTATATTTGCAAACGAGACGAGGGTTTAGAGACACGGTATGAAAGCAAAAAATACAGTCCTCCCAATGCGAAAACCATAAAGACACTACAGAAAATAGAATACCCAAGTCAAGCAGACTGTTTTTTGACTATAAACACATGGTATACTACGAATTTTGACTCAGCAGATTGCGGACTTTTCTGCTTCCACAAACTTAAGGAATCTTAAGAAAGTAGAAGTTTGAACAGAGGAAAAAATTGCAGGATTGAGCTAAACAGAATCCCACAAAAACAGTTCTCAGGGTCTCCTCAGCAGTAGAAACGACTTTAGATGAAATGTATTATCTCATAATGATGATCGCCAACCTTCGGAACAAAGATTGGCAGTTGAAGAAGAAGAAGAATTATCTCAAAATATAATACAGTGAAAAATCGAAGGAAAAGGGAATTCAGGCCGTAGAAAACTGTCATGATTGCGAAATTTGAAAGAGTAGTTTGGCTGCACCATGAATGAGCTTTTTAGATCAGCTGTAAATAAAATGAGTATAGCTTTGATAATTTCCAATCTCCGATAGAAGTGGCAAAACAAGAAAAAGGTGTAAGAAAAAAGTCCTGTGACTTTTTGATCACCCCTGGTATAGGAATTTCGTAGTTTTTAGTAATCGCAATGAAAGGTTCTCATCTCGAAAGTGTCAATTGTCAACTACGTATAGATATTTTACCAACCGATTGGATTTGCTTTGTACAATATTTATTACACTAGACAGTTCAAGTGTGACAGTTGACATTGTGCATATTGTTCTATACATTACTGTGAGGCCCCTTGAAAGAATATACCTGAGAAATAAGTCTGTTCGAGTCACCAGAAAATTCGAGGTGTTCAATCCAATTTTTTGTGTTGATGTTGTAGCGAAACTAGGGTTGTTGTAGGGGCCCGCAATAAGAACTAGGCTACTTATAGAAAAATGTATAGCAGCTGTCAAAAAGCTGTCAAAGAAGTCAAAAAAATGCTTCACAATTAATTTTGAAGAAGTTCTTACATTCAAGAGCCTATAAAATTTAGTCACTGTAGGATGCTGATTTGCTGACGCTTTAGTTATCTCCCTCTCTCCAATGGCGCTTGCCGGTCAAGTTATCATGTCTTGCAAATCACGTCCGCAGCCACTTTAACCTCTTATCTTTTCCGTGGCCTTTCTTTTGGTCTTGTGCCTGCTATGAGCTGGTCATGTAGTGAGAATGGAGACCGAAAGATTGCCAAAAATAACTCTAGATAGTAAAATGCAGGGCGCAAGACCAAAAAGAAGGCCACGGAAAAGACGAGAAGATGAAGAAGGAGTTGGAGGCACAATTTGAAGTAGGCCAAGACTCGATTTGGGCTGTATCGCAAGAGGAGAGTGAAAGTAGGATGCTGATTACATTAATCGACTAAGATACAGCGGTTCACTAACTTTGAAAACATTGTATTTAGCTAAGAACCCAAGTTTAATTTCCACGGACACATTAGCAAGCAAATTTGTCCGTATGAAGCAGAGGAGAATCCAAAATAAAAACAACGATCACTTCATAGTCCAAAGATCATAGTATTCGCTCCGGTAAAGACACCATCGGTATTTCTAAGAAAACCCATGCAGGCGGACTCTAACTATCAGTAGTGAAAGGCTTCTGTAAAATGATAGGATTTTTGCCCCAAGAATTGCAATGGTAGATTAATTATTTTACAAAAAAGTGATTTTTCGTGAAAAGCCTCCTAGGACTCCTGATATCGGTCCTTGTGACTATTTTCTGGAGATACCTGAAAAGTGAGGGATACAAGAACAAACCGACGAATCTGATGTATTTGAAGCACAATATTAGGTCAGAAATGGATGCAATCTCGCGGAAAATGTGTCAACGTGTTTTAACAATCTTCGTTCGAGCTTAGAGGAAAGGCAGCAGGAAGAATATAACCAGGAAATGGTATTAGTATGTTTAAAAAAATCTAAATATTAAAATTCGAATAGTAATGATATTTCTACAGAAATCATTAAATACATAGCCACAAAGTGTTCGTGTTTATCGAATATTTAAATTGAAAACGAAACGTGACACGAAAAACATTATTTTAAACAAACAGTTTGATAAGAAAACTAGTAAATGATCATTAATAGAAAAAATAACCGCAAAAAAACATAAACATGGTAATTATTCTGTAATGAGTGTAATAAATATAAACAAACTTACTCCGTTGATAATGTTGGCAATAGTTTTGGCATGGTTTACAACCTTGGTTTTACTTTCTCCCAATTCTTTGTATTCTTGATTGTCTATCACGAGCACTAATTCTACATATTTGGATTCTTTGTTGGCATTGTAAGGTCCCCTGACTAATTGTTCGTCTGTATCTCTCTTATACTAAAAAATAAATAAATAGATAAATAACAACACAAAACCACGCAACAACAATTATTTACCACTTTTCATACCTTCTATTACGAAAAATCTAAAATAACGGACTATTTTGTGTTCATTTTGTTTTGTTTTTAATGTTTTTCTTAAAAAGGTATGTAAATGATATAAAATCAAAGGTATATAAATGATATAAAATCAAAGGTATGTAAATGATATAAAAACTTAAAATGCTGTCTTTTAAAAACATTGTAAATGGCACATACACGTATTATAAAAATTATAAAATTAATTTGTTGCTCCGAAAATAGCAAAATCGTTACAAGTCTCGTAAAAATCAAACCTACACCTTTGTTATTACGATAAAATAGTGCCTTATGATGTTTAATGAACCCTCAAAATTTCAGATCCATCTGTAAATGAGTATAGTCTCTGTAACATATATTGTAGAATGCTTTTTTTAATTCGAATTAACGTGTCTCCACATATTTGGTCATTGACACGGGAGCAAAGGTTTACAGTCGTACCTACAAAGTTATAATACAGAATTTACAATAGTAAATAATACCAATATTATGTAATAGTATATTACATAACGAGAGTTGTAAGAAGCTTATTACATGCGAGTAAAAAAGTTGCGCGCGAGCCGCTTAGCGGCGAGCGCAGTAATTTTACAAGCATGTAATAAGCTTACAACTCAAGTTGTGTACTATACTTTTTCTACGATTATTTTCGTTTATAAAAATAAAAATTAAATTACCACTATATTTACACTGACATTAATAATTTTTAATCTGTCAAAATAACGTCTGTTAATTCGTTTCCATGGTAACTCGACCAACTGACTTACGAGGCTTATGTGATATTACACCTTTTTATAAAACTGAAGCGTAATTTTTTTTATTACGTGCTAGTCATTACGTGTCAGTATCTGTTATAATGCATTTACTTAGCATCCAAATAGTAGGTAATATACAATTTACTAGTAAGAGAGTAGAAAAATTATATTTTGTTAAACAACTGAAGGGGCACGGGAAAGAACGATCAGAGTCTATTTTTAGTCGGAATTTAGATATTGGCGCAATATTTAAGCATTTTGCGAAAAGAACCCCAACATGGTTTCATTTGTACATTAACGGACACTGTACAGAATATAATAAAGGGCAAGGATATAAGCTAACGGAGAATAACGATCAGGTTCCTCGCGCTGACAGCTAAAATAATAATGATCAAGTTCAGACGACCTTCTAACTAAACGTAGTTATAGGTAAGTCGAAAGTATTGTCCGAAAGGGTGCCGATGATGGTTTCTCGATGTTGAAACACTTTTTTTTACATATTTTGAACTTAAACATATGGCATCTAATAATTTTTGTGATTCGTGTTGCACAACTGTGGTAGTTCCCTTGAAAAATCAGGCACGTAAGAGAAAATTGGTACCTGTTACATTAAAGAAGCTGCATAATGAACCTCTACCTATTAAGACTACTAAGTTGCATGATTTATTGCACCTGACTTAATTCCTGATAAATCATGAAGCGCATTCCTTTTACCAAAGACTATTTTCCCATGCCGATACGAATGAAGGTAGTGATGTGGAATTTGTCGACGATCCACCAATCGACACAACGCGCAAATTGATCAGAGTCCAGCTTCTTCAATAAAAATTTGAAGATCTTATAGTAATAACTTGGTTATATTAAAAATGTATTAAATTTTTCTGAACCAAAATAAACGACTTTAAACTTTATAATTCGATTTGTAAAAAATGAACAAAATGTAACTTTGATCTTTCTTTCCCGTCGCCCTTCAACTGTGTAGTCTTTAAGAAGTCTATTAAGCTCTTGAGTCAGCTGGAACAGAAATTCTTTTAAACTGTGGGTTATTGTTGGCAATGCGAGTGGCCTGGTAGTGTTGGGACATTCTGCGAGGATGTGCTTGACGGTAATAGGAATATCGTTGGAGTGGGAGCATAACTGTTGGTCTGTAACTGTAGAGGACATAAGATGACCGTGTGTCAAACGTGTGTGTCCGATTCTCAATCTGTGAACTACGGTCACAAGTGGTTTGTAATTTTATTTAGTGTACTAGCTGTCTTACATGTGTTTTGTTTTATTATTTCAATTGCCTGATTTTTATGAAAAAACCGTTATTTAGGTAAGTTTTAATTATTTTATATCATATTGGTTTATACAGAACGTTGTCACATTATGTAAAGCAAACGGAATACAGCATATTAGTGATAAACACAATAAAATATTGTTAGAAGGCAAATTTTTTAGGTTACGAGTGTTTTTATTTCTGTCTTAATTTTTAAATTAGTAGTGTTAGCAAAATTCTTTAAACTTATTTTCATGAACTAAACGTTATATGTATGAAATAAAATCCTAAATTAGTATATAAAGTTTCGGCTGAGATGTTATATCATGTTATATCCAGTTCATACTGCCAACATGTTAATTGATTTGAAACTGGAAATTGTTTATTTTGTCTGTATAATTTGATAGCAATTATTATAACAAAATAATAATTATTACGCAGTTGTAATAACAGCAACATTAAATTTATTGCTATAGTAAATGAAGATTCTGTTTCAGAGTGTCCAGACTCAGGATTGACAAGCTAGAAGAGCCTAGATCCCAATCAACTCCACAGATAGATTGATGGTATAACTGATGACCAAACCATAGACCCAGAAGATGGTGGTAAATTGAATGTCCAAAAGCAGTTTGTGATAACAATTGGTTTATGGGGGGCGTCAACAGATTCGATCAGATGCTTTCTTGCTACGCTCTCTTGGAAATCCAAGAGAGCGTAGAATAGAATTAGAATAGAACTTCTTAATGCTACAGTAGTAAACACATATATTTTACAATCTTGGTATGAAAAGAAATTTACGCGAGCCTATGTCACATTTGGCATACCGCAGCTTTTTTGCCAATAAGTTCATACATAATTTTTCGAGTAGAAAGTGGTCCTGTAGCAATACAATTTCAACAATTCAACAAAAAATTGAAGGACGAAAGGTGTCTACTGGTCCTCTGGTTAGAAGTTCGATGGTGAGTGAACATTTACCTGTAAAAGGTACATCTCGGCGATGTGCTTTCTGTAGCACAGAGAAGAAGCCAAAGCGATCTCACATGGCAAAAAATGTTGCCCCTTGTTTGTAATGTTTTACACCTTTCCATTTGTAATAATTGTCTCTTACAATAATTGTCTTTTAAATAAAACGTTGTCTAAAGTAATTTTTTTATTTACTAACACAATTTCCTTAAAAAAATGGAACAAGCGGTTGATTTTTCAACCAGTGAAATTTTCGGAAGTCGTTGGGCCCGTAATGGTTCTTTGGTTGAAAAATCAACCAGGTCCTGTTCCACAAAGAAAAAAACATAATACCAAGAGGATACATTATGACTCTATTTATAGTTGTTTTGCATTGTTTTACTGAATATAAGCTTTGAACGACGCAAAAAACAAATTTTTGCGCCTTAAAGTGTTAAGTCTCCACCCTGCAGTTTTAGATAAAGGCTGTTCAACGAGTCAAAAATGTCTGACAAATAAGCCGATATTACTTGGGTACAATGTTAGTACAATTTAGTTCACTTTGCTTTTGCTGTTCCAAGAAGGTGATTACTTCATCTCGAATGTCAAATAATCTTCGAATATTTTCTTTGCGTAGATGGGCACAATTTCGAAGGTCATTCCTAATCTTGACGAGTAATAGTATTAGAGTTTATTTCAATAAATACAGTAAATATATAGAAATGTCACGAGAAAATAGTGAAGAACTACCCTGTATATATTTAAAGAAACGATTTAATAAATGATCAAGGTTAACCCTTGACATATCATTGGTATTAACCTCATGTGACTTCCAACCTCCCATGAAAAGATAATAAACCTATTACGAATTTTTTAAAACGGTTATATGCATTTTGATCACAGACCAGTTATTATTTCAAGCTTTATTTCGAGAACACAATGCAAGTAGATTACAGGAAACTCTCATGAACTTCTGCGAAATCGATGTTTGCAGTGTTTAAAACAAATAGGTGGTGAATCACTGTATTTAACTGGGAGACAGTAACAAAACATTAGACGGTATTTAAATTTTAACGTGTTGCGTGTCTATGCGTAGATTTAAAAACTGTTTTAAAACGTATTAATTAATTCACTTCTTGCAATTAGAGCATTATATTTCACATTATTGTTTCTATATCTATTGTATTGTTCCTTACTTTGGATACTTTTCTCAGTTCGTGCTCGCCCGAAAAAAAAATGAATCCTTAAACATTAACTATTTTATTTCATACTGAATTTCATATAAACTATTAAAAACGACTGTTAAGAGAAAAATAATAAATACTCCAACTATATTACTAGCCCTCCTTTATACCTTCCCCATCCAGTCCTTGCCGTCTTTATTGATATTAAATCAGCATATGATAATGTGAATATATACAGTGTGGAAACCACTTATGGAATAAAATTGTTTGTGTCCTTATTATAGAAAATAATCAAAAACTCTGGGCCACGTTAACTTTTAAATTTAAATGTGCGCTTTTTAAACATAAGTTTAAATGTACAGGGTGATCCACGCACGTCTGGCATAGTCCATAATCATTATTTTTAATGAAACACCCTGTATATTTTTATGTTTTTAAAATACTTTTAACAACCTGATTTCAATTAACTATATCATGTAGGGTCTATAATGAATAATACAAGGTGAAATTTTGAAATTAATAATTTATCACGTATTTTTCTGAAGCTATTTTCTTGTTGCATTTTAAATTAATTACTATTTAACTGGGAATAAGCCACAATTAAACATAAAAAAACGTTTATTGAAAATTTTTGAGAACGATTTCCGAAGTGGAAATTGAAACTTCAATAAACGTATTTTTATCTTTAATTGTGGCTTATTCCTAGTTAAATAGTAATTAATTTATCACGTGTTATGAAATTAGCTAAATACAGACAATAGACTTCTACTCTAAGTGTCAGTACACCGTATATTGTGAAAAATTTCTGTTTAGTAACCTTGTTAACATTTTTTGTCGTGAATAGGTAAAAACTCTATAGATAGTCTGCTAATTAAACTAAATCGGTAAATAATGCGGATTGTTATTAATCCGTTGACATGCTGTTGACATTTTACATTAAAATAATAAATTCTTAATTAAAAAATTATTTCTTGCAGAAATAAAAATGAAATATTTAACTAAGGCCCACCGAATTGAGATTTTAATGATGATCGATTACGGGAAGAATTGTAGAAGTCAAGTTGAAGTAGTAAACTTATTTAATCAGAGGTATCCTCAGTTGCCTAATATTTCACAAGGTACTGTGTCTAAAATTTATGCACGATTCAGAAACCTTAGATATGCCAAACCATTAAAAAGAAAATCGAACTTCATTGAAGATGAAGTGAAAGTGGATATTTTGTTAAGTGTCGCAGAGAATCCAGTTCACGTCAAATTGCACGTCAAAATAATGTGAGTCAAACAACTGTCCTAAGGTGTCTCCTTGAAGAAAACTTCATCCATATAAATTGACATTTGTGCAGGAGCTAACAGAAGACGATCCGGATCGTAGAATGGATTTCTGCAAAAGAATGATGGATAAAATTAACAAATGAAATAGCTCTTGGCACAATTCTTTTTTCTGATGAATCAAAATTTAGATTGAACGGAGAGGTAAACTGACAAAACTGTAGATATTGATCAGCGGAGAATCCTCATTGGATGCGTGAGACACACACTCAGTATCCTCAAAAGTTGAATGTTTGGGCAGGTATTATAGGAGATCATATTATTGGTCCTATATTTATAGATGATAATTTGACAGCGGAAAAATATTTAAACATGCTAAGAGACGATGTTCTTCCTTAGTTGGCTAACTTATATCCCAATCCAATAGATCCGACCCTACCGCATGAAACTGTCTGGTTCCAGCAGGACGGTGCAACACCCCATTATGCTTTAATGGTGAGAAATTACTTGGATGAAATCTTCTTCAATAAGTAGATTTGATGAAGAGAACTAGTGAGCGGCCAGCTAAGTCGCCAGATCTTACGCCTTTGGATTTTTTTGTGGGGTTATCTCAAGAACAAAGTATATGCAACACAATCAACTATCATTGAAGACCTCAAAAAGTAAGGATAACTACAGAAATACGGAATATTTCACCTCAAACTTTAAACAAAGTTCGGAACGAGTTTTATAGGAGACTGTGTTATTGCCAACAACAAGGTGGAGAACATGTTGAGCATTTATTTTAATGTAATCCAATCAATTACATCGGTTATTCTATGAATTCATTGTCTTGAAGAAAATACCTAATTTCAAAATTTCATCTTGTATTATTCATAATAGACCCTACATGATATAGTTCGTTGAAATCAGGTTGTTAAGGAGCTTTTAAAAACATGAAAATATACAGGGTGTTTCATTTAAAATACAGATTATGCACTATGCCAGACTTCCATTGATCACCCTGTACATTCAAATTTATGTCTAAAAAGCGTACATTTAAATTTAAAAGTTAAGGTATCTCAACGTTTTTTATTATTTTCTAAAATAAGGACACAAACAATTTTATTCCATAAGTGGTTTCTAGACTGTATAAACTTTACTTACAAAATTTAAATGCACCTTGTCCTATAATTAATATTATTTTTAAAATTTTGCAAAACAGGTTTTATATACTAGATCCAATAACGGTGACTTTATGCCCGTCTGTAGCAACCAAAGGTTTACCCCATGGTTCATCTTTAAGCACAATTTTATTTAATATATGCATATTTTATCTATTTTTCATTCTTCCATCATCGGCATTTTGGCTTTACAACCCTGGGTGGGTCCTAGCCTCCCCAAGAATTTTTTTACAGTCGTCCCTATCCATCGCCTTCCTCCGCCAAGCACGTATTTCCATATTTCTCATATCTTGGTCTATGTTATCGAGGAATCTTGTTCTGGGTCTTCCGCTTCTTCTTTGACCAATAGGTCTATCAAGGAGCGTTTTTCTAGCTGGGTCGGTTTGCTCTATTCGCATTACATGGCCTACCCACCTCAGACGTCCTATCTTAATGTGTTTTACGATATCAGGTTTCTGGTATATTCTATAGAGTTCGAATCCCTTTTTGTGTATTTACAGCTAGTTTGTTTTACAGCGTCTTTAACTTCCAGGATCGTTGGTGGATCCTCCTCCCTCTCGTCTGCTCCGCTTACCTCACAGCTTTCGTCTTCCGGGTTTTCTTCTTCTTCCTCTATATTAAGTATCTGGTTAAAATATTCCGTCCATCGATTGAGTACGTCAGTTCTTGCTGTTAATATATCGCCATTCAAACTTCTATATTGATTTGTGTCTGCTTTGAATGTTCTGAATTCTTTCTCTCTGTTGAGGTTTTCTATTTATATCGAAGTTCCTTTTTTAAGTGGTTTCGTTTCTTGATTCTGTGTATTTTCTTTTCTTGTCTTCTCTTTGTCTGGTAATACTTGTTCTAGTTCAGCGGGTAAGCCTTTTTGCATAGGCCTCATTTTTTTTCTGTGTGGCGTCTTTGCATTCATCGTCAAACCAGTGATTTTTTCGGGTACAAGTTTCTGTTCCTATTTCATCTTGTGCTGCTGACTCAACATATTCCTTTATCCTGTTTCAGTAGGGGTCTATATCTCTCTGGTCTTCTTCGCTTAGACTTTGAGTCCTTAACCTATTGGTAATATTTTCTTAGTACTGTTTTGCAACAGTTGCATCTCTCAGCTTCTGTACATTCCATTTCTTTCTGTCTATTTTTTTTCTTTGTTGGAATTTTCTAAAGATATAAATATTAATGGGTATGCTGAGGATTTGGTTTTATATGTTAAAGGATCAGTTATCCAACAAATGGTTAATAAAGTTAATATGGCATTGTACAATGTACAAGAATGGTTGTTAGAACATGACCTATCTCTCTAACTAAACAGATGTGAAGCTGTATGGTTTTCGAAGGGAAAATGCAAAATTATTACCTCGGAAATCAAACTTAGTAATACCATTAAAAAATCAAGTTAAATTTTTAGGCATAATTTTTCAAAATCATCTCAAGTGGGACAAACATGTTGATAATATTTTAGTTAAAACAACGAAAAATATTAATATTTTACGTGCAATTTGCAGAGTATGGTGGGGTGCAGACTGTAGAACTCTTTTAATAGTCTTTAATGCTTTAATAAGATCTCGCGTAGACTATGGTTCATTCTTATTCAGACTTATATATCAAAAATGTATTAATAAACTCAACACAGTATTTTTTGAAGGCTTAAGAATTTCTTTAGGTTATATGAAATCTACCCCTCTCTTGGCAATATGCAATGACTATAACAACATTCCGGCTTAATTTTATTATGTTGTTTGCATCTCTTATATTTTTTATGGTAAGTCTTACTGAAAAAATGTTTTATTTTTGTTTAAGATAGTTCTTGAAGGCTGATATGTTTAATTTTAAATTAATTGTAATTTGTTTAGTAAAAAAGAGAATATATCAAACTATTACAAAAATTGTGGACTATTTTTTTGTGATAAGTAAATAAACATCTTAAATAAACAAAACATGTCAATAAAAAAACTACAAACAATAGATTATTTTATTGACATTTAAACAAGATGCATGTAAAGGACTATTTTTATGACCGATGTAGTAGACCATATGCCACTACTGATACACAAAATTAAACTGCCTCTGCATATGCCACTACTGATACATAACATTAAACTGCCTCTTCTGAAAGGTTAAACTTAATCTAATCATGTGAAACTTCATTTGAAAGTTATTCAATTATTATAAAGTTTCAATTCAGTAATTCAGTTATGATTATTAATTAATTGCAAACACTTACCCTTAATATTCTATTATTGTTATGAGCATGAACTTTTTCCGGATCCACCGCATCTCCGGCATACCCGCACGTCTTATTGTGTTCCAATAAATCGGAATATTTATATAAAAAATGATCGGATTCTACGTCGCCAATCGAATTTCCTTTTTCGACATAGTGCATTTCTTCACCGTCGAATATTACGCCAGAGAGGCCGTCGCAGGTCGAAAGGGCCACCCAGGAATTAGGCTTTCCACGAACTTTTCCATTATATTCACAGATATTAGCTTCCTAAAAATTCAATAACATGGTTAAGTTACAAGCGAAAGTAATAAAAAGTATATTGTTCTAGAAATTAAGAACATTATTCGAGAGTAAGATCTTCAAGAGTTGCCATTGTTCGTTTTAAAACAGTAAAACCAAATAGAAAGTAAATCGCTTAATGTCAAATAAGGAAAAAATGACGAATGAGCCAAAAGTTTCTTGAGTCGCCGTGTTAGCTCGCATTTTCATGGTAAAGTATGATCCGTCTTCGCTGATTTATTTTCATCTATTTAAACACTTTGGCAATACTATTTAGAATTGCCATTTATTTACTATTGTTTTTTGTATTAAATAATGGTACGATGGAGAAATGGAAAAATATCTGCGCGATGGACAATTCGTATATTCACTTATTTCTTTGCAGTCCTTCCTCCCGATTTTTTTATGGTCACTCATCATCCAGCCACTACTGACCCACGCTTCTCTTGTCTTCCCTTGGTCTCCATTCCAATAACCTCTTTGTCCATCGCCCATCTGTCATTCTAGCTATGTGTCCTGCCCATCTCCATTTTAGTCTGGCTATGCTTTCGATGACGTCAGTCACCTTATTAGTTCTTCTCCTGACCTCTTTTTTTTATTTTGTCTCACAGAGTTACTCCTAATATGAATCACTCCATTCTTCTCTGTGTTACTCTTAGTTTGGTAGCCCCTGCTTTTGTTAGAGTATGTTCTGCTCCGTATGTCAACACTGGGAGGACGCATTGATTAAATACTTTTCTCTTCAGGAATGTGAGCCGCTCACTTTTTGACTTGTCACAGACAATTCCGAGTTCCAACATCGAAAGGATTACAATACCCATGTTCGCCCGTCTAAAGATCTGGTAAGCTGGTGATCTTGGAAATAAGGGCTCGTGCGACAATCGTAGCGAACTACGATTGCCTACTAAAGTCACATTGTTTTGAATATTTCGACTTTCGGAACTCCTGGAGATATCGTTGCCACTTTTGACTAGAAAGGATATGGCCTTAGAGGTGGTCAGGCATAATCCCACGCATGGAAGCTTCGCACCATTACCCGCTCGAGTAAGTGCGTCAACCAAATGTCCGAACCTGCGGTTCCTTTCGATTGAGCAGGATTACTATCGCAACGACGAGTCATCAGAAGGTAAAACTAACCTGTCTCACGACGGACTAATCCCGGCTCACCCTGTCTATGGGTGAACAATCCAACGCTTGGCGAATTCTGCTTCGCAATGATAAGAAAAAGTCGACATCAAGGGATCAAACACCTCTTGCTGAAAACTAAGTAAAAAGTATCGATGTGCCTTTCGCAGTCTCTATGCCTACTGAACATCAGGATCAAGCCAGTGTTTGCCCTTTTGCTCTACGCGAGGTTTCTGTCTTCGCTGAGCTGACCTAAGGACACATGTTATTTTTTGACAAATGTACCGCCCCAGTCAAACTCCCCGCCTGGCAGTGTCCTCGAATCGAATCAGGCTGGAGGTAAGTTGACGCTCGAAACGAAGCACACGAACTTTAGCCGGATATCCGAAAGGTAAGCTTTATCGAACGATACATGCGTTTCGCTTTACCGAGTAAGTAAAGAAACGATGGAAGTAGTAGTATTTCACCGGCAATGTTACCAGTTACCATTTCCCACTTATGCTTCACTTTTCATGTCTCCTTACAATGCCAGACTAGAGTCAAGCTCATCAGGGTCTTCTTTCCCCGCTAACGCTAATTTTTCCAAGACCGTTGTCTTCTCCAAAAAGTATGGTAACTACAAATTGACTTAGATATTTATTTTCAAATATTCCAAATAATTCTTTTTAAGGTGCCACAAAGAATCCCGCTATCATTTAGGTTCAGATTCAACCTTTGAATAGAATAAGATTGAAAAATTTAAATGTTCGAATAATACATTATTTCTGATACTACTCCTCACTAAACCAAAATATCACTAAACTATAAAAGTAAATGCATTTATTTTACAAAATATGTTGCTGAATACCGATAATTTAGATAATAGCAGATATTGTTCATACGGACCTGAAATGTTGGCTGATGAATTTTGTAATCTCCGTTTTCTTGATGTTTGTGGAAGAATCCTTCGGGAATTAAATCTTTATTAATGGTCAAATCTAATATCATGTCCTCTCCATCCACTTCCAGCGTGATTTGTAGATGATCAGTGTGTTTTCCCGACTGAAACAAAAAAAAAGATTTATATTTTTAATTTTCTATTGGCATATATGTTAAAAATGAAAATACGTATTGAATAGGAGATTCCAATAATGACTGAATATACAGGGTGATGAATTTGAAAAACCAAAGTTTTTTTTCTCTATCCCAAGCCTATCCCAAAATAGGTGTACCTTAAATTTTGTACAATTATAACTAGCAATTTACGAGATAATTGCCCGTTTCCAGACTTTTGGGCCACTCTATATATTCTATTTAATTCTAATATATATAAAGCAATACAACAATCTAATATAATACAGATATGATATAGATAAGTACCCAAAACAAGCTTGAATCAGGTTTTCTGATCCACATATGGATTGTATTGATGATATTAATACATCAACTTTGATGATGATAGTCATTGAACAAAGAACTTCCCGATAAGCGTTGGTATTCTAGAATTGATGCAGCACAGTCAGCAAGAAGATTGTACACAAATGAATTCTACTTTTTATCTCATTGATCCACTTCAATTTGGGGTCGACCTCTGTTTCTTTTAGCTTGTATTCTGGGCCTCCATTCCAAAATTTCTTTCACCCACCGATCATTACCTGCTCTTGTTACAATTACGGATACGGAGGCTATCAAATGTTTTCAAAAACATGGTGTCCATCCTCTAGATATAGATTCTAGTTTTAGATTCTCCATTTTGTAGAATTCCTCGTTTATTAGACAGAATTGATAATCATTGTTTATTATCAATGGTAACATTTTTTTTCCAAAAAATTGTTTTCATTGAAAGCAAGTCTTTTGGGCTTTGTCCACAAATACCACAAATAAAAATATTGTGAATCCAGTTTCTCTTTGCTTTCTTATAATTGTGTCAAAAAGTTCCCATATTAGCGTTACAACGAGAAAGTTAAGACGCTAAAACACAAAATCAGTAGATAAATAATTCATTAGAATTCAACGTGTGATTTATAAGAAATGGAACTGACTTTGTGTTCTTAGAAAACCGTCCAGACAGAAATTTACATTATAATAATTACTTCTTAACGTCTTCCGGTAGTTTTCGGTCTTCTTTGATTGTGAGAGGTGTCAAAGAAACGCTTCGCAATAATTTACATATTAAAATGATATAAAAAAGTTGATCTATATTAAATACTTATTTATTTTTTAAAGATTTTAAGGCTACTAAAAATTGAGCAGATTTTTAGAAATGTATGTAAACATATTTTTAATCTTTTATCGACGGTATAACGGATTGTCACAATAAATGCAAAGTTGAAAAGTGAGTAAATTTTATTTATTTAGCGTATGGCTACATCACAGGTTCATAAAGGGGTGATGGGGTGTAAAGCTAGTTCGCGTCCGTAGTAGAACACTACACGTGCACCCTGGGTAACGCTAAATGAACTAGCACAAAAGGCGCCAGACAATCTTGAATCTCATGGCAATTCAAATTACACAGAAAATCTTTCCAGAAATGACACTTGTAAACGGACCTTATCAGGACCATTTGACCAAAGAACTCGGACCAAGTGAGTAGATAACTGTAGCAGATAGTACACTAGGAGGCAAAATTAACCAAACACTTGGATTTTTTTGTTTTTTGTTGCTGTTTAGATCAAAACTTGTTTAATTTGTTTGAATTGTATTTTATGCCTTATTAGCGATACGTTTTTTTCTTGTTTGAACCTGTTTAGATGTTTTGTTTTGAACCAAGAGAAAATTAGAATATCTCGGACATATTACACGTGGAGAGAAATACACCTTGCTCCAAGTGATTATGCAGAGAAAGATCCAAGGAAAGAGAAGCATAGGGAGGAATAGAATGTTATGGCTGCGCAACCTGAGAGAGTCGTACGGATGTACATCAAATGAACTTTTGAATGAAGTTGAAGATCGCTTTCTTAGGTTACAAGCGTTACGCGATCGTACATGATCAGCACCAGTAATTGTTCAACGATTAAATGATGTTCATAGAAACGTGTGTCAGTTTATACCATTCGAAGACGCTTAAATGAATATGGATTAAGGTCCAGAATACCTGTCACGAGACCTGTATTAACAGCAAATCATCGGACATCGCAAGAATATTACGGGATTACTTGGATGAAGTTGGGATACGTTTATTATCGTAGTCCCCAAGTGCATATTTAAATCCATAAGAGCGTGCATGGGATATTCTAAGACCACGTATTCGACGTAACTATGGTGATTTTGAAACCATGAATGATGTGGTGGAGCAAGCAGTTTGTGACGAATTGTAGCAAATCCTTCAAGCAGACATTGCTGCCTTTAATCCGAAGTATGCCTGAATGAGAGCCGTAATTAGGACTCGTGGGGGTAATACACTCTAGTAAATATCGTTTACCATGAGAAATGTTTATACACTCGCGATCATAAAATCCAGGTCACCTTGAAAATCACCGATATTTCATTTTTAACGAGCTTTATGATAAATAATAATAACACAAATACAAACTAATGCATGTTTCTGAGAATTGCTGTCGGCTTAGCGGTTTCCTTTGTAACAAAGGATTCCAATAGTGCCGATTTAGCGGAAAAATGCACACTTCCCAAAATGAACGGTACCTGTAACTGCCGCTTGTTTTCAATGTCTGATTTCTTCTTCGACTTTCTGTTCAAACGCAACGAACAAACGTTTACTATTGCCACCATTAGTGTTTATTGAAAACCGTTGAAACGGCACTAATTGTTGCGCTTGTGGAAGACGGTCACAATCAACGACAAGTCGCAAGAGCTGTTGGCGTAAGTCCTTTTACGGTTCAATGAGTGCTTTAACGCTTTCAATAGACGGGTTTGCCAACCAGACGACCTGGCTCTGAACGGAGAAGAAGGACCACGGCACGAGATGACCATTTCCTTGCGTCTCAGGCTTTACGAAACCGCACCTCAACTGCGGTTATGCATCGAAATCGTCTACAGGAAGTACGAAATCGCAATGTTAACGTTGCAATAGTCAGGAGAAGACTTCGTTCTTCTGGACTATCTTCTCAAGTAATGGCTACAGGACCGCCACTTCGTGGGCGGATCAAGTTGCACGATCCTTGACTTTTGCTTGACAATACGCGAATTGGGGAATTAACGGTTGGAGCAAAGTGTTATTCTCAGATAAATCCCGTTTCTGCCTAACTGGATCTGATGGACGTGTAAGAGTTTGGAGAAGAACCGGTGAACGATTTTCACAGGCTTGTATTGGTCCAAAAATGCCATTTGGTGGGGGCTCGGTCATGGCTTGTGAAGGTGTATCTTTTGACTTCCGCACAGAATTACCCTTCATCGAAAATGAGTCCTTAACTGCACGAAGGAAAATTACGAAGATTCTGGAAAATACTGTAACGAAAACTATTTTGCCTACCTCAGGGTAAGATTATGGAGGTAAAGATAGGGCAAGCAAAATAAACGCTACTTGTGTGAACGGCACTCAAGGTTTGTTAGGATAGCTGGGGTCGTGGATAAGCAAAAGATAAGGGGGATTGGTGCAACTACAAAAAAATAAAATAAAGAGTCATGAATTTCTGGTGACAAACAAAACAAAAAGAAACAGGAAACACCTCTAGTAATTTAATATAATGCGCCTCTTCGAGGTGCCTAATTATAACCATTACAACAGCTAGTTGTAACTAGAGAAATAATTATTGAACATAAAAAAACATATTTTTTCAAATGGAAACTCAAAAAAGGGTTAGTTAAAAAAGAATAAACAAAATGTTAAGAAAACAAAATTTAACATTTATTGTGTCTTACCAGAAACAGTTATAAAAATAATGGCACAAATTTACATATAGATTGTTAGTTACATAGAACAAGAATAACAAAAAACCTTACATGTGTCCTAGCCGTTTACAAACTCTGTTGCTACAAAACTTACAAAATTGCATGGAGGTTAACCTTCTTTAAAAATAAAATAAACTAAAATCAAAACAAATAAAACGAGCTGTCATAAGTTAACAATGAATTTAAGAAAAAACTGAACACACAAATTGACAGCTAAAGTCAAACCCAAAAATTTTATAATTTATTAATTATTATAAATCCTTTAAATTTTAATGAAAGCAATTAAATTATTAAACAAATGTCTACTTTACTTTAAATATTTACACAGACTACATAGTCACCTAGACTGCACTGGGTTTTACACTAGAATTCTGGAACTATAACTGGAACTAAACAAACTGTTTCAGGAACAAAGCAGGAACAGCGAAATTAAAGAAGCACTTCAACTGGAAACAAACTGGAACATCAGAATTGCTGCAGGCGACACAAATCTCTTAAATACTTTTTTAACCTCCTCTGTAACTAGACATACTTCACAATTTACTTTTGACTGTTACATATTTCCATAAAAAGGGGCCAAAAACAGAAAACTACAAATTCGACGGATGAATTTGGATCCATACCTGAGCCTACAGCGACCCATGTAAGAATGACGAAATTATCTTAAAAATTCGTTCACATAACTTGAAATAAACAAAACGCTGAAATAAACAAAACACAACGAAAATTAAGACGTAGAGTATTAATTTGAAAACGCAGTACGGGCGGCATAAATCAAAGAACTATCGACAGAAAAATACGCAGCCACGAAATAAATAAACAACTCTAAAATGGTTTTATTACTTGGCTTTTATTTAAAGGAATTGAAAGAATTCGGTGTTGAAATATGTACAAATAGGAAACTGAAATACATTAAAAAAATATTCTGCGTTTTTTCAAACATTTATGAGGGGATTTCAATATATACCAAAGAATCAATGAAATTTCAAATGCTACAATACGGCTATGACCTGGCCATCTAGGTCTCCGGACCTGAATCCCATCGAATATCTCTGGGACGATTTTGAAAAACGTATTTAAACCCATACACCTCCTCCTAACAACGCATGGGAAACTAAAAATCTGTTAGTGGGAGTGGAATAACATACCACAACATGTAATCCGAAGTAAAATTTCCAAAAAATTTCAAAAATATTCAAGAAACTTAAAATTTTCGAGGTCACCCGGATTTTATGATCGCGAGTGTATTTAAAAAAAAAATTTTTGTTTCGTTGCAGATTTTCTATTTTTTTTAATTGTTTATTGTTTTTTCTGTGTAACATTCTTGAGTTGTAATAAACTTGTGTCCGTTTAATTTTGCACCCCAGTTTATAATCAGTAGTGGAAATAGAAGACAGAAACAATGTATACTACCTTTCTTGATTACCGCATTTCAGATGCAAAATATCCTCACACAACAGCATTTCGCATCCCGTTGTTGTTCGGGATCACTTGATTTGGAACTCGATCCTTCTGACTTATTCCCAGCATTTATCTTTTCATCTTTTTCTGCTATATATGTATTTTTTTATGTTCTTCTTTGTTATAGTGAGGTTTGCAGCACCATAGGTTAGAGGGAGTACACATTTATTAAAATCTTTCTTACTTTTGTTCTAGATAACACCTATTCTTCTTTGAATCTCTTAATTTCGATTTTCGGAGCCAAAATCGAAACGTCAAACAGCAGTCGTCGATTTTGGCTTAATTCCATATCAATAAACATAATATTTAATTTTCATTGTTCCTCTCTTTAATTTTAGCAATGTGGTTTCGACTAATTGGAATTTCGTTAGTTCGTATAATATTACATAATCAATGCGGTATTGGTAAACCAAAACATTGATATAATTTATCAGCATTGATATCATTTTTAGAGGATACAAATCTATGACTGCAAATTTTTGACCACAAAAAATTTAAAACACGTGTTTCATGTAACAATACTAATACAAAAGAAACAACAACAATACACCATAGGTCAGAAAAGAATTAAAAGAGGAATGTAAAGAGAAACGATACGAAATGAAACAAAGCAGTTGGTAAGAAGAACAAAAAAATTAACACTGGGAACAGTGTTCTAACTAAAGATAGCCATGAATTCACTCAAAATTAGAAAGTCACCAGGATCAGACGAAATAACCCACGAGCTTGTAAAACACGGAGAAGAAAGTATAACTCTAGAGACGACAAAACTTATACAAAAACTAATATTATACTGAAAGATACAAGACGCATGAAGAAACAGCATAATTATATCAATGTTCAAAAAAGGTGTACTGAACACCGCACTTAAACTTATCACAAAAGTCCCAAACAACAAAATGAATAAACTAACAATTTTATAAGATGAACAAGAAGGATTCAAACCCGGAAGACCCTGCGTAGACGCCGTATTTGTACTAAGACAAATCACAGAAAAGGCCATCGAGTACAATAAACCAGCATATCTATGTTTTATAGACCTGACAAAGGCTTTCGATCGCATCCAAGTCGAAGACGTCTTACACCTACCACCCTGTACTTTCGTGACACTGTACCGATTTGCCTGGCCGGTACAGTGTCACGAAATAATCTTATTTCCTTGGTTTAAGCAACAAAATAAAGTTTTCATCATGTGTTGTCTAAACCAATTATAAAAAATAATTTTTTTACTTGACTGTTAAACTAAGTAATCCACCCACTATAATCTTGTAAGAAATAAAAAAAGTACCTTCTCTTTCGTCGACGAAATTTGTCTTTTTTCTCTTCCATGGTAGAGTTTGGGTTTCACGAGTGTATGCCGACTGAATTCCGCAGCAGGATGCAGCTCATCTGTAACAAATAAGAGAAAAGTGTCATGTAATTAAATTTGCAATGCATTCCTCTAATTAAACGGAACGTTATTTTGTATAAAAAAAAACGTTGAATTTCTCATGCACGAATAAATACAGGAAACTATAGTAAACAGGATAATTAGTACAAAAAGATATATATGTATGTATATATTGTAAGGACTACGACCGTCAATTTATATTTCAAAAGTATTCAACTAGTGAATAGCAAATAAACAAAAGAAGTCGACTACTTCATTAGTTTAATGTGTTTTGCTTTATATTTCTAAAGCTTCATCAGTTCTCTAAAATACAACAGATGACAGAAAGAGTTTATAAGATATACAGTTGTTAATAGTTCATAACTTACAACCCAATATGTAGTTTATTATCGATGTTATATATGTACTGTAAAATTTACTGTAACATTTAAAAGTAACTTAACAAAAAAAAACACACACACACACACAAATTCTGCAGTTAATAATGTTCATATTCGAAGATACGAAGATTTAGATATGCGAAGATTAGATATTCATTGATAAATGGTCTATATATAACTTGAGGTAGCATAGTATGGCCACGTTGTTTCAAATTAGAGCAAAGAACAATTACCAGCGTATTCAGGTAGTTACCACTTAACAGCTCACAAGGAAAGTCAACTCAAAAACTCGTAATTTAAAGTGTTAACGAACATTTTCCACAAGAAATGACATTTCATTTGACTCAACAAATAAGATGGTACCCCGGTATGTCACCAACTGACTGCAACTAAATCGAAGGAATGGTATAGAGGAAATATACTCCATTAAGAGATAGCTATAAGATTGGAACTTCTCCAAACCAACCTAGAGAAGAAGGACATTTGAAGACGACCTTCGCGAGGACAAAAAGCGAGGCAACGATGCCGATAAGTATAGGTGGCAGAGTATGACGTCCTGAATGGAGAAATATTCACTCATCAGAATTACATTTTGTTTAAAATTGGAGGAAACTTAAGAAAGCCAAGGAAGGAAGGCAGTAGAAATATCTTGACAAGAGAAGATTCAAAGAGGCAATCCAAGGGATTGAGGGACATTCCTGAAACTTCGAAGAGTGATAGGAAAGACATGACAGAAAGGTGAAGTCCACATGGTACGGCAGAACAAATAGTCGCCCCTATTGGAGATGGAGATATGGAGAGATCCCGCTGGCGCGAGAATTATATGGCGAAAAAAGAGATGTTTGAAAGAACTATGCGAAAATCTTAAAAAGGATAACTGGAAATATGCGCATACCGAATAGTTATCAAGAACTGTAAAGGAGTAGGAGTCTTCTTTAAGATTGAGGAAAGAACTGGTCAAAAACTATTTTTTTACAGAAGGAAGAAGTATGCTTTATGTTACTAACAGGTGGAGACAGCCGTGACTAAATTGACAACGGAGAAGTGGCTAAAGCTGGCAGAACGCCTAAGAACTCAAATCAACTTAAAAGTGATTGTCCACATTACTGTTTTATGTAGTTTAGGTGCTGGTGTGAGCTTATACAGGAGAACCGTAATTTTAGGCTCGACATTATAAGTTCAAAGATACAGGGTCAATACGAGCTAACATGTTAATATGTATATAAAATGATGTTTATTTTTATTGCCAATAAAAGTAAAAAAACATGATACAAATTACAGGTATACAATTTTTTTGAGTTTTCACATATTTTGAATACTGAAAGATAAAACAGTTTTGAGTCAAATTATTTCATTTATGTTAAACGCCATTAAAAATATGTAATCTTTATTGAACTACCGTGAAACGGGTAAGCCATATAAGGAAGGAAATGTTGGTTTTGAAAAAAATGCCGTTATCCTTTGATTAACTGCATTCGCAACAGTTACGACTAATTTGCGCCATGTTCCGCTTAAAAAGATTATGCTATCACTTTTACAATACAACTTGATCAAAAGGAAGTCGGTTTTTTTGTATGATGCGTATACTAAAAAAAGTCGATTGTGAATAATAAAGTGACTCTTGATAGAGAGCCAAGAGTGAAAAATATATTTTTCGTAGAAGTAATCGCGATAAGAATTACATCCTGTAAAATGTACCAAAATATCCAACATTCTACACTTTCTGTCTAGAGTAGTAATTCCCAGTAAGATATTTATACGTAAAATAATAAGAGATAATTTGAGAAGAAGTTAATATATTTTTTGCTACTAATCTAGAAAAATTCGAATTCCATCAAAAATTTAAAAACCTAAAAGCATCAAGGGGAAGATATTCATAGACCCTCAGCCTAACTATGTAAAATCATTGATTTATGTAAAATCAACAAATATGCAAATTGCCTGTTTTAATGACAATTCGATTTTGGAAAAAAAAATATTATCTAACATCTATTTTAGTAAAAAATGATTATTCCAGTCATTCGACATCGATTCGGCGGGAATCGCCTATGAAAAGTAGACAGTCTTTCTACTTCCGTCGAATCGACTCAGTCCGCCGAACGGACAAGTCGATTTATGGTTTACATGTTCAATTTGCTTTCGATTTATTAGTCGACCTAAATCGTTCTACCCAGATCGACCCGTGAAAAGGCGCCTTTAGCTTCGCAGGACACAATGCCCGACTGAAGAATAGGAGATGGAACCACGAAATACAACAATAGAGACCATAGTTAGGAAAGAGAATCAGAGGAAGACCACAAATGAGATGGGCGGATGATATTAAGAAGATCAGAAGACACTGGAAGAAAGTGGCGCAAAATAAAAGATACTGGATTGATTTGGGGGAGACCTATGTCCAAAGGTGAAATACTTACGGCTGAAGAAGAAGAAGAAGTAAAACATCAGTGAAATTTTAATGACTAATATCGTATATTGCCTCCACTTGCTCTATTAACCTCTTGCATACTTTCAATTTTTCCCCGGTTTACATGTGGTATGTTATTCCACTCTTTCACTAACAGATCCATAAGCTCCTTGTTAGGAGGAGGTGTATGGGTTTGAATAAGTTTTTTCAAATCGTCCCAGAGATGATCGATGAGATTCAGGTCCGGAGACCTAGCTGGCAAGGGTAACCTCGTAATTCCAACCTCGTCCAAGTATTGCATACTGATTTTGGCAATGTGCGGTAGCGCGTTGTCCAGCATAAAACCGGCGTCTTCTCCAAGCCCTGCCATGGTGCCACCAAGCCATGACCGAGCCTTCACCAAATGGCTTTCTTGGATCAATGTAAGCTTGTGAAAATCGATCACCGGTTCTCCTCCAAACTCTTATAAGTCCATCGGATCCAGTTAAGCAGAAACGGGATACATCTGAGAATAACACTTTGCTCCAATCATTAATTTCCCAATACGCGTATTGTCGAGCAAAAGATAGTCGTGCAACTCGATGCAACCGGCGAAGTGGCGGTCCTGTAGCCATTACCCGAGAAGCTGAGAAGAATGAAGTCTTCTCCTGACTATTGCAACGCTACCATTGAAATTTCGTACTCCCTTAGACGTTTTTCATCGTCCAGAGCCAGATCGTCTGGCTAGCAAATCCGTCTCCAAAAAGCGTTGAAGCATTCGTTGAACCGTTGAGAGCCTTACGATAACAGTTCTTGCGACTTGATACAAATGAGACCATTAAAACAAGCGGCAGTTACAGGTACCGTTCATTTTGAGAAGTGTGCACTTTTCCGCTAAATCGGCACTATTGCAATTCCGGTAAGCCGACAACAATTCTCAGAAATATGCATTAGTTTTTATTTGTGCTATTATTAATTACGATAAAGCTCGTAAACATAATCTTTATTTATTTAAACTTTGATCAAATAAAAGGCAAATATCGAGCACGGTTTAATTAATTTAATCTTGCCCAAGTACTTTCGCTCCCTAGAGCATCTTCAAGGGCATTTCCTCAATTGTGGCCTATCCGACAAGAACAAACAGGCCATAATTGACGAAATGCCCCTGAAGATGTTCTATCTGAAGATGTCTTGTCGAATATCATTCGAGAGAAAATCCGGCAAAATTTTCTTCTGGTTTTATTCAAGTTCGTTGCCTTTTGGCAATTTTCACTTATGAAATTTTGACAAAATCACTCAAATGACGCCTCATGAATAAGCTGTCAAATTTAATTCGCGAAAATTGCCAGGCAATAAACTTTCATACCAGTCGCAAAGATGGCCGGTAAAATTTTCTCTTGTATTGTAATATATACGAAAAAATCTAACTAATTGATTTTTCCGGGAAGAGAAAATAGCGTAGTTCTTATTATTTTATCAAGTTACCTCATTTCTTTTATTTAGAAATAATATAGATTTCCCATACATGTCTGATAAATATATTACAAAATATGAATACAAAAGTATAATGTACCATAGGTTAAATATTATAGAGGCTTCGGCAATAAAGCAATCTCTTAACGTAACACACCATGTCTGTACACCCAACACTCTCCCACATATTACGATTTATAATGAAGATAGTTAATGTGATTAACTAAAACGACCTCTTTTCTGTGTAAATCTCACAAATAGTTTCATTTGCAGCCGTCGTGTCAGAAACATCTATAGCGTGTTGCCAGATTGTCTATTAAGTTAATATAGCAAATAAAAATAAAAGAAGTAAAACCAAATAAGAGAGCAGAGAAATTAAAAAAAAATTGATCAATTGATGATGTTAAAATTAAATTTTTAATTTTCTTATAATTATGAATTTTCTGGGGCCTCATGGCCAGGCAAGACATTTCTTTATGTTGTCCGCAAACAAAAGATTTATTGTTGAAGTTTTTTTTTTTATAAAATGTACATCGTCTTGTCCCATTTTGTGGTTGAATACCCCAACGACCATGTGGTGTGCACCAAAACCATAGGCGAATCGCCTCACCCCTCAAACCAAGTGATTAATTTTTTTTAAAGTTAGCTTAAGTTGTATTAGAAACTTTGAAAAAGCAGCTATAGATGTTAAGTAATGCATAGGCTTGACTACAGATGGATGCTGTGTAATGAATTCTGAAACTATTTATACTGTTTAATAACC